AGATTTCCAGGTGGGGGTTCTGGCTCTTTCTGTGAAGTGGCCCAGGCTGCCTTCAGAGGACCTGTGGTGCTGGGGTTACGGGAGGCCCCAGCTGTGCCTGCCGGTCCCTCTGGCGTCCTGGGGTGTGAAGTGCTGCCCTCTGTGGTCTGTCCCCACGTGTCTTTAAACACATTAAGCTCACAGCCACACATGGAAGGGCGGAGGGCCAGGGAGAAATCTGAGTCTTGAGCCCAGCTGGTGTGTGGCCTGGCCAGGGCCAGGTGGCATGTGGCATGTGGCGTGGCAGCAGCCAGTGGCAACCGTCTGCACAGTGGGGTCGATGGACAGGCCAAAAGCATATGTGCATTTGAGTGTCCCCCAAGATCCCTTGCTAGGGATGGGGGTGTGTGGGGTGACCCCTGTGGATGGAGGCATGGGTGACCCTTGCAGCTGTCAGGCTTTGAATGTGAGTCCAGATGCAGCAGCGAGGCTGTTCCTCATCCAGGTGTCCCTGGGGACAGCTGAGGGTCCTAGGTCTCCCAGTCTTCGTCCTCACGGGGTGGGATGCGGGTACGGAAGGCCTGATGCTGGCCCGAGGGATAGAAGGGAGACTCAGGGCCCCAAATTGCCATGATGGGGACAGGAGTGTGACCTGCAGAGCCCCAGGGAAGGCTCCCTGTGGACTCAGGTGTTACCTAGTCCACATGTGAAACAGTCAACACCGAAGAGGCCGCCGTGGCACTGGGCTCAGTGGGTAGCGTGCTTGCCTGGTACTGGGCACCTGTCCTCTTAGTGTTGGGGCGTTGGGGAAAAGGAAACACATTAGACCAGGAATTCTAGACTGGGCGGTGGGGTGCTGCATGTCTGCTGACCGGGGTGAGGGCAGGGATGTCCTGCAGGAGAGAATCTTCTGGCCCCGAGCTGGGGCTGCCAGGTGGGCTAGCTTCTGCTAGATCTTCCCACCCAAGCACGAGGTGCCTGCGGCCTGTCCTTACCATCCTGTCAGGCTAAGCTACGGAGAAGGGAAGATGGGTCCTTCCAGAACGGCCCAGACCCCTCTGAGAGTCTAAGTCGGCGACATGGCGTGCACACAGGGCAGTTCTCTGTCTCCCCAGGTGAGTGGTATCAAGGCCCTGTACGAGTCAGAGCTGGCTGATGCCCGGCGGGTGCTGGACGAGACGGCCCGGGAGCGCGCGCGGCTGCAGATTGAAATGGGAAAGCTTCAGGCCGAGCTGGACGAGGCCAGGAAGAGGTGGGTGGTCGTGCTGGGGACCCAGGGTGGTGGGCGAAGTGCTCGCCCCACAAGGGTGAGGGTGAGTTCGGATCCCCACAGCCCAGCACTGGGGAGATGGGCAGGGGCCCCTCGGGGTGAGCTGGGTGAGGTAGACCGGCCACAGCGGCAAGCCGGGGTTCAGAGAGAGGCCTGTCTCCACCAAGAACGTGGCGAGCGATGAATTCAGATCTCTGCGTGCATGCACACGTGAACATGAGAACACACATCAGAGGAAACCAGAAAGGTCGGTGACCGTGGCTGGACAGGTGCTGGCCCCTGGGTACACAGCTCCCAGTGGACCCCAGCCACTCTCAGTAGCCCCCCAGGCCCCCCGAGGCCGGGAACGGGATGACTGTGGGGTTGAAATGGAGTCCCGAGTCCACCATCCTGGAGTGCATGGTCTCACGCATGCACACGCCTGCTCAGACCGTGGGCACCTTGGAACAGCGGTGAGACTCCCCAGGGACAGCAGGCCCCAAGATCCCTCACTGCGTCCCACGTGACTGTCCCTTGGAGTCCCAGTGTGCCCCTCACCAGAAGCCCTCCTCTCCCTGTGCCTCTCAGGCTCGGGCACACCGTACCAGGGACTGGAGGTCCACCCAAGATGGTGGCACAAGGCAGAGTGGCTGGCTAGACACCAGCCTTGGCTTGTGCTAGGTGTAGAATTCAGGTCCTGCCTCAGCTGGGGACATCACAGTCCTCAGAGCAGGTCGGGGTGAGAGGGTTCCCTGCATGCCTCCCCTGCCAGCCCAGGCCTGGCTCTGCTGAGGGACCTGGTGGGACCATCCTGGGACCTCCCTGTCTCAGAAGGGTCCCCTTCCAGATCTGCCCAAGGTCTGCCCCTGTCAGGACTCCAGTGGCCATTTGACCTTCATGGTGGCCCCAAGCCAGGGAACACAGGCCTGGCCTCTGTGAGGCGACCCACCTGCTCTTCTGGGGAGAGCGCCCGAGCCGGCTGCCAGGCTGTCTACCCCAGTGCCTGCCGCTGGCTTAATAAACTGGTGTGTGGGGGCTCGAGGGTGTCCACAGACACCAGGCCACATCGAAGGCGGCCGAGCAGCCAGCACCTCTGTGCTTCTAGTGTGGAGCTGGGTTAGCTCAGTGGGAGATTCCGGCCTGGGTCTGTCCACAGACACACACACCCCTCTGCCGCCAGATAGTTTTACATTCCACAGATTGTATCTTGGTTTCTTTTTGTTGTGGACCATTCATTCATTCATTCATTCATTCATTTGATTTATTTGAGGCAGGGTCTCATGTAGCCCCCTCTGGCCTCCAGGCTCTATGTAGTTCAGGCTGGCCTTAAGCTCTCTATGTAGCCAAGGATTGCCTTGACCTTTTGGTTCACAGCATCAGTGAGGCTGACCTCCCCCCATCCTGTGGACTCACCTCCTTCTGGGACAGAGAGTCACGATGGCCTCAGGTACCATGTGGACCTGCTGAGCAGGCCAAGTGTTCCCACACGGGTCCTCTGGGAATCGTCACACTCCACCAAGACTGTGCCCTAGCGCCCTGCCACTCTTGGGAGACAGGCACCAAGGCCCATGCAGACCACAGTGGAGCCAGGGCCTTTGTGATGGGTTAGGAATTCCCCAGGCCCCCACTCTCCCCTCTTTGGGCCTCTTTGCTAGTCTCGGGCATGCCGCACCCCAGGGCCTTTGCACTGCCGGCCTGTGGCCCTGCCTCCTCCACGTCTCTTCTTCAGGCCTCGTGGTCCCTCGCTGCCTGGCTGGCGCTCTCTGGGTGCATGACTCCAGCCCCTGATAGTCACCTCCAGGCAGGCTCAGGTTGACAGGGCTCTGTGAGCAGCAGGGGGCTACATGGCCCACGCTGGGGCCTGGTCCTTCTGCACCCACACCCACACTCAGGCAGGCACGGTAGGGAGCAGCCTGGTGTCCCCAAGATTTGTGGCAGCTCAGCCACCGGTGCCACCCACCACCTGTCACCTGCTGACCCTGGCAAAGCTGAGGTCTGTGTCCCACGAACACCTTCGTGTTGAAACGCCGCCGCTGCTGATGCTGCTGCCTTGACTGGGGTGTGTGGAAGGGAGGGCGGCCTGCCTGAGTCTTCTTCTCCAAGGCGGGTCTTCCTTTGTGACTTTAATGAACTGCGGTAGTGTCTGGGCCCTACCCAGAGCTGGCTTTTAGGGGCTGCACTTCCGTGGCAGCTGGGCGGGGTGCGGGCACCTTCAGCCCTGACACATATGGCTAGTGTCCTGTGGGCCACAATGTCCAGCGCTTTGGCTGGGCTGGGCTGGACTGGGTTTGAGTTTGCTAGTTTCGTTGTCTTTGAGACAGGGTCTCACTCTGTAGAACAGGCTGCTCTCAAACTTGAAGCCATCCTCCTGCCTCAGCCTCCCAGGTGCTGGGAAGGCAGCCAGTCAGCCTGTAGTAACTGACAGGGACCGTGGTGACGTTAGGCTCGGCCTCCATGGAGCTTCTGACCATTCACCCCCCCCCCCGCCCCCTTTCAGTGCCAAGAAGCGGGAAGGTGAGCTCACGGTGGCCCAGGGCCGCGTGAAGGACCTGGAGTCCCTGTTCCACCGGAGTGAGGCAGAGCTGGCCTCGACCCTCAGTGACAAGCACGGGCTGGAGAACGATGTGGCCGAGCTCCGAGCGCAGCTGGCGAAGGTGGGTGGTCGGCTGCTGGCGTCCGGGCTCCCCAGCTGACCGGGAGGAGCTGAGCTGGCCGGCCCGCAGCTCACTGCCCCGTGTCTCCCAGGCAGAGGACGGCCACGCTGTGGCCAAGAAGCAGCTGGAGAAGGAGACGCTGATGCGCGTGGACCTGGAGAACCGCTGCCAGAGCCTGCAGGAAGAGCTGGGCTTCAGCAAGAGCGTGTTCGAGGAGGTGAGCGGCGGCGGCGGGCGCACCCTCCCGAGCCCGGAGACCACCGCCGGCATCCGCTCCGGCAGCTGTCTGCCTCTGTCCCCTGCAGCCTCTTACTGGGGAGGCCCCTCTCCGCCGTTCTGTCCTTTGTACGTTCCTTCGTTTCCCCGGGGTGGGAGGAGGGCCAGAGTCGGAGTCGGCGAACTCAGGCGCTCAGACTTGGCGGCAGCCACCCTCACCTGAGAGCCACCTTGCCAGCCCCAGGTCTCTCTTGACACTGGTCCAGTGACGCTGGTCACTAGATTTCCAGGCCATCTGAGTCACTGAGAATCTCATATCAAAAAAGCGTAACTTAGCTGGGCATGGTGGCTCATGTCTTTAATACCAGCATGAGGGTGGGCGGAGGTAGAGTCAGGCGACGTCTACTGGTCTACAGGATGAGTTCCAGGACAGCCAGGTCTACACAGAAAAAGCCTGTCTTTTTTGGGGGGTTTGGGGGGTTCGAGACAAGGTTTCTCTGTGTAGTTTTGGTTCCTGTCCTGGATCTCACTCTGTAGCCCAGGCTGGCCTCGAACTCACAGAGATCTGCCGGGCAAGAAACCCTGTCTTGAAAGACTAAACACACAAAATCCAGCTTAAACTGGGTCAGCAAGATGGCTCAGTGGGTAAAGACGTGTGCCGCCAAGACACACAGGCTGAGTTGTACCCCCAGAAACCACATGGTAGGAGAATACTGACCCCGCAAATTGACCTTTGACTGCCACAGCCGTGTTGTGGCGCAGTAATGTCCCCCACAGACACACATATGAAACCAATGTCAAAAGAACTTTGTCTTTTTTTTTTTTTTTTTTGGTTTTTCGAGACAGGGTTTCTCTGTGTAGCTTTGCGCCTTTCCTGGATCTCGCTTTGTAGCCCAGGCTGGCCTCGAACTCACAGAGATCCACTTGTCTCTGCCTCCCGAGTGCTGGGACTAAAGGCGTGCGCCACCACCGCCCGGTTCCTTAACTGTGTACTTAAGGTCACATCCCGGTCTATGGATCAGGGTGTGACCTCATTCAGCCAACCTTAGGGTCTCCCCGCTAACCCTGTAGCACTTTGGGGTACTGGGCATGGTGGGGTGACTAGGCTGAGATGATCTGCCCTGGAGGTTCCCAGGGAACTCGGCCGTCACAGAACCCATTGTGCCATCATAGCCCAGGGGAGTGTCTCTGGGTTGGGCTGGGCCAGGCCCCTGCCTGTGGTCACTGCGGAGGAAGAGCCTGTGGAGCTGTGGAGCCCCAAGCCGCTCTAACCAGGGCTAACAAGAGGGGCCGCTGCCCCACAGTCCCAGGAGGCCATGAGAGCTTCAGTGTAGAGCCCGTGAGGGAAGCCACGAGGGACCTGACCTCGGGAAGGGGCCTGGGGAGAGTCCTGTTTGGGACTAGAACTCATGGGGGAGTCAGAACCCATGAGGGGAGCTGGAGAGGGATCTAAGAGGGAGTTTACAGGAGACCACGGTCCTGTGGAGGGACCCCTGAGGCAGGCCCAGCCTGCAGGGGGTCCCGAGAGGGACTGCCCGATGGCGGCCAGTCCTTTGAAGGACAGTGTGGAGGGATGTGAGGGGGAGCTCAGCCCGAGACCCCTAAGGGAGTGTGTGAGGCGACGTCTCAGGGGACTTGCGAAGACCCCTGTGAAGGATCCTGTAAAGCTGCCCTCAAAAAGAGCCCTGGGGACTGCCAGGACTTGGAAGAGCCACCTTCGGGTCCCTGCGAGGGGGCAGGTGAGGCGTGCACAGGGAACCGCCTCGCAAACAGCTGTTTGGGGTGCCAGGAAGGCGTGTGTTCTATCCTGAGAAACCTGTGGTGGGCCATTTATCCTAGATCCCTGTGGAGAGGCCATTTTGTAGGACAGCTAAGATCTAGCCGGGCGGGTGGCGCACGCCTTTAACCCAGCACTCGGGAGGCAGAGGCAGGTGGATCTCTGTGAGTTCAAGGCCAGCCTGGTCTACAGAGCGAGATCCAGGACAGGCTCCAAAACCACACAGAGAAACCCTGTCTCGAAAAACCAACCAAACAACAACAACAAAAAAGAGACCAGGATCTCAGTGTGTAGCCCAGGCTAGCCTCAGACTCACAGAGCTCTGCCTGCCTCTGCCTCTTAAGTGCTGGAATTAAAGGTGATCAGCACTATGCTGGTGGGTAAGGAGTCTTTACAGAAATCTCTAACATGGTTTACAAGGCAGAAGTCACAGGACAGCCAGGGCTACACAGAGAAACTCCATCTCGGACCCCCCCCCCAAAAAAGGAAAACTAAGCTCCATCGATGTGGATCCCCCCCTTACCACACTCACCACCTTCCGTTGGAAGGCGCTGCCACGCCCTCCTTCCCCACGGTGTCCCCTGCTGTCCGGGGCCGCTGCCACAGCCCTCCTTCCCCACGGTGTCCCCTGCTGTCCGGGGCCGCTGCCACAGCCCTCCTTCCCCACGGTGTCCCCTGCTGTCCGGGGCCGCTGCCACAGCCCTCCTTCCCCACGGTGTCCCCTGCTGTCCGGGGCCGCTGCCACAGCCCTCCTTCCCCACGGTGTCCCCTGCTGTCCGGGGCCGCTGTGCTCCCCCTGATCCAGAACTCCAGGCCCCCGGGAGGCTCTGTCAGTGTCTGCCTTAGAAGTCTTCTGTTACTGTTTGGAGACGCAGCCTCTGTGTGGCCCTGGTTAGACCAGACTGTCCTGAACTCTTAGATCCTCCTGCCTCAGCCTCCTGAGTGCTGGGATTCCAGGTGAGTGCTGCCGCACCTGAGGAAGCTTTCGTGAGATGTCATCCTCGGCTGTCCCGTTTTGGTTTTGGATTTTCGTTTCTCTGTAGCCGAGGCCGCCCTGGAACTGGCTCTGTAGACCAGGCTAGCCTCAAACTCAGAGATTCTTCTGCCTCTACCTCCCGAGTGCCGGGACCAAAGTGTGGTGTGTGTTTGACCACAGCCCGGGCCTTTAAAAATGTTTTAAGAAGGGTCTCGTTGTGAGCCCATGCTGGCCTTATGGTTGCGGCCATCTCCTGCCCTTGGCTCTCAAGGGCTGAGATCTGTTAACCACACTGTGGCCCTTCACGCCTGGTTCTCTCGGCATATCCGGCTTCGTCAGGGTCCCTCCATGCTGTGGACTTATCAGAGCCTTGCTCCTGTTCCTGGCCGAGCAATACTCCATTGTGTCCACGGCCCAGGCTGCCGTCCATCATGGCTGGAGCGTGCACACAGTGGATCCCTGGCGAACATGTAGCCAGGAGGCCACCTGGAGTTGCAGCCCGGCTCAGCTGGGTCCTTGGCCTGTCCCCTCGCAGGAGGTGCGGGAGACCCGGCGGCGACACGAGAGGCGCCTGGTGGAGGTGGACAGTAGCCGGCAGCAGGAGTACGACTTCAAGATGGCCCAGGCCCTGGAGGACCTGCGCAGCCAGCATGATGAACAAGTGCGGCTGTACCGCCTGGAGCTGGAGCAGACCTACCAGGCCAAGGTGCGGCCAGGGGGAGGGGAGGGGAGGGGACCCCGAGTCCTGCCACCCGTGCTCACACTCCCTGATTTCCCCAGCTGGACAACGCCAAGCTGAGCTCGGACCAGAACGACAAGGCGGCCAGTGCCGCCCGCGAGGAACTCAAGGAAGCCCGCATGCGCGTGGAGTCCCTCAGCTACCAGCTCTCGGGCCTCCAAAAGCAGGTGACGGGGCCCCGGCCCCGCCCCACCCACCCCCTACCCCTTCTCCCGGCCCCTCACATCCAAGGCTGCAGAGGCCACACCGTGACCCGGCCATACCCTCCCCAGGCCAGCGCTGCCGAGGACCGCATCCGCGAACTGGAGGAGGTTGTCGCCGGCGAGCGTGAAAAGTTCCGCAAGATGCTGGACGCCAAGGAGCAGGAGATGACGGAGGTGCGCGAAGCCATGCAGCAGCAGCTGGCCGAGTACCAGGAGCTGCTGGACGTCAAGCTGGCCCTGGACATGGAGATCAGCGCCTACCGCAAGCTGCTGGAGGGCGAGGAAGAGAGGTGAGCGAGGGGGGGGGGGGGGCGGCCTGGGGATGGGGGGCGGGGCCAGCAGCGGGGCGGGGCCAGCTGCGGGGGGGGCGGGGGCCTGGGGATGAGGGGCGGGGCCAGCAGCGGGGGCGGGGCCAGCTGCAGGGGCGGGGCCAGCTGCAGGGGCGGGGCCTGGGGATGAGAGGCGGGGCCAGCAGCGGGGGTGGGGCCAGCTGCAGGGGCGGGGCCTGGGGATGAGAGGTGGGGCCAGCAGCAGGGGCGGAGCCTGGGGTGAGGGGCGGGGCCAGCTGCAGGGGCGGGGCCTGGGGATGAGAGGCCGGGCCAGCAGCGGGGCGGGGCCAGCTGCGGGGGGGCGGGGGCCTGGGGATGAGAGGCGGGGCCAGCAGCGGGGGCGGGGCCAGCAGCGAGGGTGGGGCCAGCTGCAGGGGCGGGGCCTGGGGATGAGAGGTGGGGCCAGCAGCAGGGGCGGGGCCTGGGGATGAGGGGCGGGGCCAGCAGCGGGGGCGGGGTCAGCAGCGGAGGCGGGGCCTGGGATGAGAGGTGGGGCCAGCAGCGGGGGCGGGCCTGGGGATGAGAGGCGGGGCCTGGGGTGAGAGGCGGGGCCAGCAGCGGGGGCGGGGCCAGCTGCGGGGCGGGGCTCTTGAGGCCGGGCCTAGCCTCCCGGGCACCCTCACACCTACCTCCCTGCAGGCTGAAGCTGTCCCCCAGCCCGTCTTCCCGCGTCACCATCTCTCGGGCCACCTCGAGCAGCAGCAGCAGCAGCAGCGGGGTCGGCATGTCCGTGGGGCGGGGCCGGGGCAAGCGCCGGCGGCTGGAGACCGAGGACACCCAGGGCTCCCGCAGCAGCAGCAGCGGCCAGGGCTCCAGCCTGGGCAGCGGCTCCCGCCTGGCCCAGCAGGCAGCGGTCACGGGTGTCGTGAGCATCGACGAGGTAGACCTGGAGGGCAGGTTCGTGCGGCTCAAGAACGCCTCGGACAAGGTGAGCCAGGGGCAGGGTGGCGGACCCGTGCTCCCATCCCGATGGCCGGGGGTCACGAGCATGTCTGGGTTTCAGGACCAGTCTTTGGGGAACTGGAGAATCAAGAGACAGGTCCTGGAGGGTGAGGACATTGCCTACAAGTTCACGCCCAAGTATGTCTTGCGGGCCGGCCAGACAGTCACGGTAGGTGCCAGTGAGTGTGGGGCTCAGGAGGTTCCCAGCACTGACTCCCAGGGTGGGAGGTATTGTGTGGATTCCGCATGTTCTGAGACCAGCCCGGTGGCCCCTGAGCTGCTGTGTGTGGCTGCCACACCCCTCAGGGTGATGCCTTACTGTCCAAGTGATGTCCTGTGTCTGAGGCCTGGCAACTCACAGTTCTGGGTGGGGCACTGGGCCCCGAGGTGCTCGGATTCCAGTTCCAGCGGAGTGCTCTGGGCACTGTGGACCTGTGTCTCTTCGTCCATGTCCTGGGGCCATCCTGCATGGACAAGCCCACTGAAGGGCCTCATGGTGGGCAGCCGTCGGCTGGCCCAGGTCCTGAAGCGACTCACAAGGGCTATCTTGGGTCCTCAGGTGTGGGCAGCTGGCGCAGGGGTCGCCCACAGCCCCCCATCAACCCTCGTGTGGAAAAGCCAGAGCAGCTGGGGCTCCGGGGAGAGCTCCCGCACCGTCCTGGTCAACGCGGATGGAGAGGTAAGAACCCAGCAGGGTGTGATCAGGTCCCCGCACCTCCTTGCCCTCACAGCAGCCGTGACTGAACCGAAGCCTCTGAGCTGAACTGGGGTGGCCTCTTGTGGGGTGCAGCCACCAGCATCGGGGTGCCAGGCACACTGCTGACCCTTGTTATGTAGGAGGTTGCTGTGCAGGCTGTGAAGCAGACAAGCGTCCAGATGAGCGAGAACGGGGAGGAAGAGGAAGAGGAGGCAGAATTCGGCGAGGAGGACCTTTTCCACCAGCAGGTAGAGCATGCGACGTCACGCCGAGGGGGGCTTCGGGTCCAAGTCCCACAGTCCTGCCTCAGACAACTATGCCCACCCACTGTGTGGGTTCTGGGACACCACCGGCCTCACTGGCCGCATGTCTGACCCTTCAGCCAGGACACCCTCTCCTCAGGGCTTGGGATGGGGAGGCAGGGACTCCAGCCCTGAGTCTGGGCTGCGGGGACCCGTCTACCGGCTTGGGAGCAGGCCGCCTAACTCCATCCTTCACTCCTTGCAGGGGGACCCGAGGACTACCTCGAGGGGTTGCCGGCTGATGTGAAACCTGCCCCATGGTCACCAAGGTCCCCACAGGCCCTGAAATTATTTTTTCTAGTCAGCTCTAACTAGTCCTTGGTACATTTCTAGATGACTGTTAAGCGACCATGAGAATGTGGGTGGGCTGTGCTGGGTTTCCTAGGGTGGGTCCTCTGCCCGCAGGCTCCACCCTCTCCAGTATCCTATGTCACCTCGGTGATACAGAGGCCGGGCCAGGAGCCTGCAGGCGGAGGGACAGGAGCGTGGCTGCTGGCTCAGGGCAGACCTAGCGTGAAACTACAGTGATTCACTCATTGAATTTTCTTTGAAGCTTTTTAAATCAAATCCAATTCAGAATCTGGGTTGCAGAGGTCATCACCAGCCTGTCAGGACTTGGTGGCTCTTCAGACATAGGGCAGACCCTCCACTCCTGGGCTTGGCAGCACAGAGGAACTCCAGCTCTGAGCCTGAAGGGTCTGTGACTGTCCCCAGCCTCAGGGCATCTGAGGCGGCTCTGAGCCCTGATTCTAGACCAAGAAGGAGGCAGCCCACACCCGAGACAACTCCTTTCCTAAGATTGTCACTCCAGTAGGCTGAGGGACAGACAGATCGTGGGCGCCCTACCTTCAGGAGCAAAGGCTGCGGGTTCCCAGCCAGTGACTGCTCGCAGGAGTGTGGCCCACGCGTATACACACTGCATGGCCCCTCTGCCCTGCCCCGCCGGCTTGGCCTGAACTTGCTGCGGTGGAACATGGTTCCACGAGCTCCGGGTGCCAGCCGGCTCTCACCTGTCACCTTCACCCCCCACCACAGACACACAGTATTTTTTTAACGGATATTTATTTTTTTACATCAATAATGCAGCTCACTGTGAGGCTGCCGCTCTGGGGGTTCAGGCCCAGGGCTGCCAGGGATGGAAGTCAGCTGACCTTACAGCTTCCTTTGCTGAGCCTTGGGGGGTGCTGTCTCCTGGTACAGCCGGTGGGAAGAGGAGCTCAGCCCCAGTCTCCCCAAGGCAAGAGCTCGCGGCCACAGGATGCCACTACTGCCACCGACCCCCAGAACCCGCCATCCCCCTCCCGCTTCTGGATACCTCCGTTTTCTTTAAGTGACAGGTGTTGGGTCCCGGACTGTGTCTCTGTTTCTGGACGGTCGTGACAGGCCGCAGTCACACGCAGCCTTGCCCACGGGGCGGGTGCCCTCCGGTGCACCTGGCACCCGTGTTTGCGGAGCGGGGTTGGAGTAATCCGCAGTCCCACAGGGGAGCAGCTTGCCCTGCGCGCATCGCTCAGCTTTACAGGTGGTTTCTTTTCTAAGATGCATGCCAAACGTGTGTTCCGCCTTTTTTTTTCCCCTCCTATGATTTGTAATATACATTTTACGACTGGAAACTTTTGTACACTCAAATAAACACTTTGGTTTTAACCCCAGCCTCGGAGTTGATCCTCTGGCCCCCACAGCTTCAAGCGCCTGTGTCGCTTTCCTAGGACTGCAGGGGCTTGGGCGACGCGTGCGCACGCGCAGCAATGAAGGAACCCTGAACCAGCCCTTGTCAGGGCCTCAGAAGTCAGTATGCGCATGCGGAAAAGTGCACAGCCTTCTGGGAGTTGATACCCCCCCCCCCCCCCCCAACGAACGGAGCTCCGGGTTCAACCTAGGGACAGCGCGCAAGGCCTTGTGGGAACTGTAGTCTGAGGTTTCCACACACCGCCGCAGGCGATCACTTGGCGTGGCGCGCTCGGAATTATGGGAGATGTAGTTTGATCCGTTCCCATGGTGACTCGGGCCTCAGCTTCCTGTCAGATGGTGACGTCGAGCGCAGCGGCTTCCGGCGCCTGCGGGTCGGCGCGCGCGGCCGCGGCCCGGTGGACGGCGCAGCCATGGAGAGCGGCTTCGGCTCGGACTTCGGCGGCACGGGCGGCGGGAAGCTGGACCCGGGGGTCATCATGGAGCAGGTGAAGGTGCAGATCGCCGTGGCCAACGCGCAGGAGCTGCTGCAGGTGCGGGGCGCGCCGGGGTTGGTGACGGGGTCCCCCCGGGTGGGTCCCCGCTGAGACCTCGCGTGTGTCCACAGAGGATGACGGACAAATGTTTCCGGAAGTGCATCGGCAAGCCCGGGGGCTCCTTGGATAACTCGGAACAGGTGAGACTCCCCGGGAACCCCGGGAAGGTGAGGGGCGCAGGGTCACGAGCCGCAGGGAGTAAAGGACTTGGCGCGTGCGCGACCTGGAGCCGCGGCGTAGTGAGGCGTCTGCGCGTGCGCGGGAGTGAGGAACCGGGCTTCTGCGCATGTGTGGTTGTAGGCCTAGTGGGTGATTCCTGGGCTCACGTGACCCTAACTCAACCTGGCGTCCCATCGTCGCTCTGCAGAAGTGCATCGCCATGTGCATGGACCGCTACATGGACGCCTGGAACACCGTGTCCCGCGCCTACAACTCCCGACTGCAGCGGGAACGAGCCAACATGTGACCGGGACCGGTGCCTCGGGACACCGTGCGCTTGCCCACGGTCGGGACTGTTTGCAGCCCGCGTCTGGCGGCCCCGGAGTCTGGCGGCTGGAGGGCTCGGGGGGCGAGGCCTCTGCCGCGGTGCCTGTGCCCAGCTCAGTCTCAGAAGGGAGCGAGGACCAGTTTGAGCGCGGGGATCTGGCTGCCCCCGCCTGAGCTGTGACCTGAGCGCAGGCCAATAAATCGCTGCTGGGGCAGAGAAGCTGGCGTGTCGTCCTGCCGCCTCGGGTCTCCTCCCCAGAGTAGGCCCCAGCCTCCCGGGGTATCCTTCCCCTTGGTGTCCGTGGCCTGCCGCCTCTCAGGAAGGCGTGTTCCCCCACGAGAAACAAAGGAGTGGCCACACCTTTAATCCCAGCACTCGGGAGGCAGAGGCAGGCGGATCTCTGTGAGTTCGGGGCCAGCCTGGGCTACAGAGTGAGATCCAGGACAGGCTGCAAAGCTACACAGAGAATCCCTGTCTCCAAAAACCAAAAAGGAAACAGAGAGGAGCGGCCTTGTGAATGACTGATAGTGGTCTCAGGTGCCCATCATCCGGGCTGGGGACTAGCCTGGGATACACAGCGTGGCTCCATTGCTCTGTGTAGAGCTCACTTGTCATGCCAGAGGCCCCGGGTGTCACCCCCAGCTCCATGTAAACTAAGTATGCACACCTGTCATGGGGGGGGGGCAGCGGTGGACGGACAGATGGGGACAGCAGAGTCAAATTTGAGGTTAGCCTTGGGTACATAAGACCCTGTCTCACACAAAAAAGGCAAGTCAGCAGGGCTCCGTTGCTGAGACACAGGTCCTGAGCCAGAGCTGGGGGCAGGAACTCTGTTTATTGGAACAGTATGTACAGCCACAGCTAGTTCCCATCAGACTCCCGGGCTTGCCTGCCACCAACTCCCCTCTGGGTTGGGTCGCCGGCCACGTGGTGGTCACTCCTGGATGTTCTGGCCTATCCATCCCAGGACAGCTGCCACTCGAGTGTAGACGCCCGGGAAGTGGGGCCTGCCACAGCCATAGCCCCAACTGGTGACCCCAGTTAGCACCCACTGGCCAGATGGCTCCCTGCAGGCCAGGGGTCCCCCTGCGTCACCCTGAAGGAGAAAGTGCGCTCAGGCCAGCAGCCCTTGGGACCCGGAAGGACCCCACATGAGAAACTGCCAAGGGGCCTCACTTGAGCCATGGACGGAATGGGTTCAGTGCTAGTGTGTTTTCTTAATGCCCCCGGCTGCGCCCTCTGCCAGGACCCGGTGTGTGTGCATGCGCATCTGTGTGCGTGTGGTGCTCATGAAGGCCTGGGGTGCTGGGTAGTTGTCTTTATTGCTCTCCATTCCCTTTAGATGTGGGGACTTCCTGTGACCCCGGAAGTAGGTGGTGGCCATCAGTTCCCAGCCATCCTGTCTCGCACAGAATGGGGTGACAGGTGCTTGTAGCCAGTGACCACGGGCCTTTGTGTGTCTCCCGGGGATCCGAACCCGGGTCCTGGCGTCTGCACAGCCAGTGACCGCCGTGTACTTTGTAAGGAGTTGTGTGAATGTGTTGTCATCGAGGCAGGCTCTCATCTCAAACACAGGAATCCTGCCTCAGTCCCCCAGCTTGGAGCAACTGGGCCCTCCGGGAGGATGTGGGGTTGGGAGACCCGCGTGTTGTCTCTGAGCAAGCAGTTGTGCCACGGCATGTCCCGGGTCAGTGGTGGGCAGGGTGGGAGAGACTCCCGGGCAGGCTCAATCGGGGGCCCTTGTTACACAGCCTGAGGACCCGAATTAAACCCCAGATCCCAGGTGAAAAACCAGCGTTCAGGGGGCCGAGACAGGAGGGTTCCTGGGACTCGGGGATCGCCGAGTGCAGTGAGACCCTGCCTCCAACTGGCAGCAGCGTCGCAAGACTTCAGGCCAGCCCGGGCCACCGAGAGAGCCCCACTCACCGAGCAGCTGTCCACGCCGCCCTGCGGGAAGCCTGCGCACAGCATGCGGCTGCTGATCTGCACCGGGTAGAAGCGGCGACACGTCTGCTCGCTGAGGACGCGCACCGCCGCCTTCTGCAGCTGCCTGGCCATGGAGCCTGGGAGGGCGAGGGAATGGCTGGGGCGCGTCCCTGTGTCCCCGCTCCGCGCCCCCCCACCCCCGCCCGCGCGCGCGCGCGCGCCTACCTCCCTCCCGCAGCGAGCCCCAGCCGGTGATGACGCAGCGCGCGCCTTCGGGGGGCCGCGCGGGCCCCGGCAGGCAGATGGGTCGCACCAGGCGGCTGCGGCGCACGGGACCCGCCAGCTCCAGCAGCGCCACGTCGTAGTCCAGCGTGTAGAGGTTGTAGAACGGGTGGCGGTAGATGCGTGCCACCCGCTCCAGCTGGCCCTCGGCGCCGCTCAGGAACGGGGTGCCCAGGAAGGCTGCCCACTGCATAGGGTCCCCGTAGCTGCGGGGCGCGCGTGCGCGTGGGCAGAGTCACCGTCCGGTGGAAATGGGCTGCTCTGTCCCCCTGCCCAACTCGGGGCTCACCCAGCCACGCCCGTGTCCCTCTGAGGGGACACCGCCAGCTGGCACCATTTCCAGAGCTGAGGATGGTCCCCACCCTCTGGAGAGGAGACTAGGCTCTTGACCCCTCTAGGTCACCCAGCAGAAACGGGACTCTTGTGTATACACGCACGTGTGCGCACACACACACACACACACACACACACCACAGGCTTCCACAGTGGAGCCCCTGCCCCAGCACCTCGGACCCAGCATAGGACCATCTGTCCCTTTCACCCTGAGCCCCACGGGCATGTGAGCGCATGTTGGGGGTCCCCTAAGGAACTACGTCCTCCACGTCGCACTCTGCCAGGGAGACCGTGCCTTCTGTCCGGTGGCCTTGGGGACTGGAGCCAAATGCAGAGGTGTTCTGGGGAAGGGCAGCGGACCCCGCAACGGGGCAGGACTCACATGTCGAAGCAGTGTGCGGCGGACAGAAGCCACCTCTCGGCCACCAGCACGGCCCCGCAGCGGTGCTCCCTGCTCCGCAGCCACAGGCTCACTTGCCAGGGCCACTCCCCACGCGAGGCCGCGCTGCCACCCACGATCCGGGTCAGCGCCCCCGGGGGCGCCAGGCCACAGTCTGAGGAGAGCGGGTGCTGTGTGAGCCCCGGGCAGAGGGTCTCTCCCGCTGCACGCCCCTGGGCTGGAACCCCAACCCTGTGGCTCCGGTGACCTGCCCCACTCTCCCCACACCCACAGGCTGGCCTCTCAGTGAATCCAGCACGGCTGACCCAGAGCCCTGTGGGAGGGGCGGAGGGGCCTTCATGTCCCCCAGCTGGCCCCTCTTTCCCAGACAGTGGCCTTCTCGCCATCAGGCGGGGTGTCCCTTCTTGGCCCAGCCTCAACCAATACCAAAGGAGGCCAGGGAAAGGAAGCTCTGTGGCCCCTTCAGAACAGCTCCTGGGAAGCGGCAGGGGGCTGACTTCGGGGTCCCTCAGCCATCGCCTCCCCGCGGTGAGTGGCTCGCACTGGGGTCCCAGCTCGGGGCTTCCCTGGGCCTCTAGCTCAGGTGCTCACAGGCCACTGCAATGGCCAGGGTCAAGGTCAGACTGAGCTGAAGGCCTTCGGACAGAGCGTCACCTTCACCGGAGGTCCTGAGGCACCGGGCTTCTGGGAAAGGCCCTGGTGTGACCCCAATAACCCCCCTTCACATGTTCCACGGCCACCCAACGCTGCCCTCCACGTGGGGGTTCCAGTGGAGTGAGATGGAGTCAGAGCAGGGCATGAGTGGCATCCATGAGGGAGAGAGGGGAGAAGGGTCTAGCCCAGGACCTTCTAAAGCCCGCCCTGGGCCAGCGTGCCCACAGCGGGGAGTCACAGCTGAGGTGCCTAGGCATGGGGGCCTTTGGAGGACTGGAAGTCAGCCGAGTGAGTGGGAAGTAGAAACAAGCATGATCCCCTTGCCAGCTATCCGAGGGACCCCAGGAAGGGGACACTGGACCTCGAGATCAGTGTTCCTCAACCTGTGGGTCACGACCCCTTTTGGGGTCCACCGACCTTTTCTTTTACAGGGTCGCCTAGACTACCAGAAAATACAGATACATACATTGCAATCATAACTGAAAGTACAGTTATGAGGTAATGAAAATGACGTCACTGGCTGGGGGTCCCCACACATGAGGAACTGCGAGGAAGGCTGAGAAGCACTGCTCTAGATGCTCGTACCACCCTGGACGAGCAGGGGCTGGGCTGAGGCCACTGCAGACGACGGGCATCTTGTCCCCACTCTGCAGACTGTGGCTGTCCACTTTACCCGGTTATTTTACAAGGTGTTGAGATACTATCTCACCATGTACACAGGCAGAGCAGCCTTAAAGTCAAAGAAACTCTCCTGCCTCAGCCTCCCAAGAGCTGAGACTGCAGCTGTGTGGCACTACACCCACACCCGTGTGGCACTACACCCACACCCGCAAAGGCGTCACTGAGACATCATTCCTCTCCAGCCCTCATCTTTCTCCTTCTGCAACTTGCTCGCTCTTTCCTCTTTCTCTCCCTTTTTATTTTATTTAAACATTCTGGGCCATGATGAAGGCCAATATGAAGGCCAGAGCCTCCCACACTGGACCCCTGACCACGCCCCCAGCCCCTCACTGGGGGATTCTAGGGTGGCCCCACCCCCAAGCCTATTCTTCATTTCTCTCTTTGCTGATCAGAGTCTCACTAAGTTGCCCACATTGGCCTTCAACACCCCCTCTTAGCCCAGGCCGGCCTTGGATTTGGGATGCTTCCGCCAAGCGGCTGAGACAGCAGGTGTTTGCCCTCAGGCCCGGCCTGTCTTCTCACCAGGACACTCTTTAGATCAGGGAACCTGCTCAGCGACCACTTTTTTACCAAAATGCCTATTTACAGACTGTCTCCAACAGTCGCATTCTGGGGTCTTGGGGTTGAATGTACCCGGGTGATGTGACAGCTCATCGTAGGTCTGACAGTCGCCCGCACAGGCTTGTGGAGCTATCCTCAAGTGAAATGAGTCCCATATCCCACCACCCCCATTACCTAGGGCCCCGGCTTTGGCAAGAGCCCTGGTGGGTGGAGGGGCCTCCTCCGGGGCACCTTCCATGGATGCTGCCTTTGTGAGGAGTTGAGGAGCCCAGGACACAAGCTCATGACAACTGGAAGAGGGGTGGGAGGGGACATTGGGGCTCGCGGGGTCCCGGTGCAGCCCTAGCAGGTGAATGCAGTGCCTTCGGCCATGAGAGGTTTGATTTTAGAGCCTTCCACTCGGCAGCTCTGCTGCATGTGGAGCAGAAAGCCGAGTCCCCAGCTGCAGGCAGAGCTCCAGTGGACCCTAACCCCAGGGTGTGGCTCAGCAGGAGAGCACCCAGTGCCTGCCAGGCCCTGGAGTCTGTCCCCAATGCCAACAGAATGAAAAGAGAGACACAAGGAGAGAGGCAGCCTGGCAGGGAGAGCTGTCATCTCAGGACTCAAGAGGCTGAGGCAGGAGGATCAGGAGTTCAAGGTCAGCCTCAGATACTAAGTGGGTCCAGGCCACCACGGCCTTGATGCACAGGAGTGAACAAATAAGAAAGGAACAGGAGGTGGAGAGGGGGTTTAGTGGAGGGCAACAGAGACAGGGGGATGGCTGGGACTCGCCAGCTGCAACCGAAGCCCAGAAGCTCCATGTTCAATGAGATACCTTGCTTCAGAGGAATATTTAGGAGTGATGGAGGACGGCATCTGTGTCCTCGGTGGAGAGGGACACGGCCGCCCTCCTCTGGCCTCAGCATGCACACACATGTGCGCACACCAACAAATGGACAGATGTCGGCACCCAGGCGCACACAGCGGGACATGGAGAGAGCTCCCACTGAAGGCCAGGCAGGCAGCCACAGGGCCTTGACATTGAACTCTAGCTCTGCAATTTGGGACACTCTGTCTTCAATGCCATCATGTGTAACCCCAGCTGTGACAGGGACCTGCCTGCCCCACCCCACCTGTCACCGTACCTGGCAGTTGGGAATGCGTGGTGGTGCCTGGGGCATTCGGGGCTGGTGTCTGTCCCCTGGTGGTGCTCCTGGCAGACAGCGTCCTGTTGAGTGGTCTAGTGGTCACCCTGCTGGTGGCCCTGGGGGTTGCCGGTCTGGTGGTGGCCTCTTGGACAGTGAGGCCAGCAGCTGTGGTTCTGGGGGGCAGGTTAGGGATAAGCCGTGTGCTGGAGGTGTGGGGGCGAGGTGTGGAGCTGGGGCCTGAGGTCATGGCCTTCAGGATCCAGTCCTTGAGCCGAGTGATGCGTGCATATACACCGGGCTTCTTAGCCTGAGCACAGCCAATGCCCCAGCTCACGATGCCCGCCAGGTAGAAGACACCTGGTGTCTCCTCACATGCCAGCGGGCCACCAGAGTCGCCCTGCAGGAGAAAGACCCCACTGGATCTTCATGGGATACCCGTCGAAGGAACAGAAAGGCCCCACTCCCACTGGACTTGGGGCTCTGCATTCAGGTGTGACGTGTGACCTCAGATCCCGCCTTCTCTGAACCTCCACCACTCATTCTGGCTCCTCTTTTTTGAGCACCGGGGATGGAAGGAACCCAGGGCCTCACACATGCTGGGCCAATGCTCATCACTGAGCTGTACCCCAAGCCTAAGGGGGAGGTTGGGGTGTCCCTGTGACACCCACCTGGCAGGAGTCAACCTTGCCCTCCAGGAAGCCGGCGCAGAGCATGCGGTCCGTGAGGGAGAAGTTGTACAGGGCACCACACATCTTCTGCTCTATGATGCCCACGGACGCCTTCTGCAGGATGTCGGGCTTGGTGGCTGCCGGGAAAAGAGCTCAGAATGCCACCGAGTGACTTGTCACCAAGCAGGGCCACCGGGTGCTGTCCCTATCCTGGAGACAGTGAGCAGATCTCACAGGAAGTTTTGTTTTGTTTGAGACAAGGTCTCGCTGTGTAGCCCTGGCTGTCCCACAACTCACAGAGATCCTCCTGCCTCTGCCTCCCAGGTGCTGGGATCAAAGGTGTGCGCCACCACTGTCTGGATGTCACAGGGATATTTATTTTCTCCTGTGGGGCTTGGGGGTAACCCAGGGACTCTGCACATGCTGGGCGAGTGCTCAACACACCCCTAACTCTTGGGGTTTTGAGGGTCTCACTATGTTACCCAGGCTGGCCTTGAACCTGTGATGCCCCCACCCCTGCCTCCGCTGCAGGCCAACCATTCCCATTTTGATACAACCTTTTCACAAAGGGCTAGAACAACGGTTCTCACTCCATGGGCCGCGACCCCTTTGGGGGCCCCATAGTACATATTTACATTACGATTCATAACAGTAGCAAAGCTGGGCGGTGGTGACGCACGCCTTTAATCCCAGCACTCGGGAGGCAGAGGCAGGCGGATCTCTGTGAGTTCGAGGCTAGCCTGGTCTACAGGGCGAGTTCCAGGACAGGCTCCTAAGCTACACAGAGAAACCCTGTCTCCAAATAAACAAACAAAAAGTAACAAATTACAGTTATGAAGTAGCAATGAAATCGTTGTATGGTTGGGGTCGCCACGCATGAACTGTATTAAAGGGTTGCAGCATCAGGAAGGTTGAGAACCACTGAGCTAGAGAACAAACATTTTCAGTTTATCCTGTTAGTGAAGGGAGGTGCAGGGAGCCACAGTCGCGGGGCTGCATGTGGCCTCTGGTATAGCAAGAGGCCAGTGGCTCAAGTCTGTGGCCAAAGGGTCGGCACAGATGTTTTTTGCAGCCATGGACATCTGGTCAATGAATGTGTGGATTTTTGTTTGTTTTGTTTTTAGAGACAGGGAGTCTCTATGTAGCCCTGGCTATCGTGGAACTCAATATGTAGATCAGGCTGGCCTCCAACTCAGAGATCTGCTTGCCTCTGCCTCCCTAATGCTGGGATTAAAGCCTTGAGACACCACTGCCTGGAGATTGTGTCGATAAAACTTTATTTATACACACAAATGAGGTTCCATATGTAGCCCCTAGGAGACATTGAGTGACTCTGCGGATGTGGGGTCAGCGCAGAGGAATGATTTAGGGCCCAGGTGAGGGAAGCCAATCCCCATCCCTCCCAGGCCAGGCCCTGGAGAATTTAGCCATCATTTCCTTTCCCTCTGGGACCTGCTCACCATTTCCCTCCTGCATGTTGCCCCAGCCTGAGATCATGCACTTCCGGCCCACAGGGAACTTGTGGATGGCCAAGGGGAGACAGATGGGCTGGATGAACTTGTTGAAGACCAGCGGCCGGGCCAACTCCAGCAAGGCCACGTCAAAGTCCAGGATGCCTGGGTTGTAGCGGGGATGCAGAAGCACCCTTCGCAGCCCCAGCTTGATGGGGCTCCCGCCGACACCCAGCAGGGACGCGGTGCCCAGGTGCGCCTGCACCTGTTCTGCCTTGGTGCTGCGGGAGACAGGACCTCAGGCATGCCTGCCCTGCCCCCTCCCGGCCAATACCCGCACCCCAGGGAGGGTCCCCTGGAAGGGGACCTGATAGAGAGTGTACCCTGGGGCTTTGCTTTTTGTTACTCTGACCAAGACCCTAGCAACTTTACGAACGTCATCGGTCACTGCTGGTCAGAACCCAGGTCCCTGCTGTGGAGCCCAGAGCGGGACAGTCATGGGCCTGGACGGCCTGGGCGACCTCCCTGTCTGTTTTGGTTTGTGTTGGCTGTTTATTTTTGAGGCAGAGGGACAGGCATGCACCACCACACCAGCTAGTTGGCACTTGCTGGATGCACTGAGGGTCTGCGATCCGGGCTCTTGGGAGGCCTTACTGGTTGAAACAGTGAGCGGCGGACAGCAGCCAGCGGTCACCCACCACGGTGGCTCCGCAGAAATGTCTGGATCCTTCCTTCAGGCTGGCCTGCCAGGGCACCTCCCCAGGCACAGCGCTGAGCCCACCCACAATCCGAGTGGGCTTGTCCATCGCAGGCCTGGCCCCACACTCTGCAAGGGGAGGGGAGAGGGGGGATGGGGGTCCTTATCCACCCAGGGCTCACCCGTTCTGGCCCCTGAGCAATGAGGACAGTGCCCAGGGGTGGCAGGGCTGGAGGTACCAGGGAAACCTGAGCTTGGAATGACTGAGATACAATAACCACACCCGGGAGATTCCAGGACCCACAAGGTCACATCCACATGGGGGCACATGCCTGTCATCCGAGCACTCAGCTGAGGCAGGAGGATTGTTCTGAGTTTGAAGTCAGCATTGGGAACAAAAGACGCTGTCTGAGAAGGGAGGGGAGGAGAAAGGGAAGGGGACGGAGACGGGGCTGGCTGGAATGAGGGAAAGTGGCAGGAAGCAGCAAACCACAGGGGACCCCCAACCACCAACCACGGAGGAGGCAGAGCCGTCTGGGCAGGGTGGGGTGGGGTGTGGCGGGGCCCTCGCCTCCAGCCCCAGGCCCCAGTTCCAGACCCCAGCACCACAGAACACACAAAACCCGAGAGGAGATGCAAGGCTGAGGAGACACAGAGAGGCATGCCAGACAGGGACAGTGCCCGCAGGACCACACCGGCCACCCAGAGACTCAGTCTCACAGGTCCACAGTCGCGACAGCCAACTTCTTGCTGACCCTGTGGGTCACTCTAACTATGTTGTCTTTGCAACTTCATTTTCAAATGCACCTACATTACAGTTCCAAAAAATTAAGTGAAGCCAGGAATAGTAGTGGATGCCTTTAATCCCAGCACCCAGGAGACTAAGGCAGGCAGATCTCTATGAGTTGAAAATCAACCTGGTCTACAAAGTGAGCTCCAGGCCAGCCAGGGCTACATAGTGAGACCCTGCTATGGTGATATTTTATTTGCATTAAAATGTTATTTGTATGTTAATAAATAAAGTTGCCCGGGGGTCAGAGCTATTAGCAAGCCATAGGAAAGCAGGGCAGTGGTGGCGTACGCTTGTAATCCCAGGACTTGGTAGGCAGAGCTGGGTAGGTCTCTGTGTGTTCAGGGATACAGCCATTATTGGATACACACGCCTTTAATCTCAATACCAATCATGGAAAACCTGGAGGCCTATACAGACAGGCCGTGACGAGGCGGTCATGTGGTTGGGTTTACAACCAATGAGAAGACGGAACAGGAACTCTATATAAGGACTTTAACACAGGGGTGGCTCTGGTTCGGAGAGGTAGGACCACCGCAGGAGGAAGGGTCAGGTTTTAGCTCTTAGCTCTGACCTGTTGGCTTTCTTCCTTGCATTGGTTCTGTGTATTTTATTTAATAAGAAGGTTGGTTACATCTACACCCTGCCTCAAAAAATTTAAATTAAAATTTAAAAACTGTATGCCCGAAGAATGACCAACCTGTAATAGATGTTTGTGCTCATGGCAGACATCAGCAATCAATTGCCAATCCCCTATTGAGTGCTTCATGGCAGATATCAATAAACGGTCACCAGTTTTGCACCCAGTGTCAAGACTGATACCAAAAATAAATTGCCCATCTCCCTTCAAGTGTATTCATGAACAACACCGATAATCAATCACCAATTTCTCGCTGAGGAGTGAAGGCAGACATTGTCAATCAATCACCAATCCTCCATCTGAGGCACTAGCCATCAAACCTGTTAAGTTTTGCTGAGTTCAGTTTCCTGGAACCCACACGGTGGAGAGAGAGAGAGCCAATTCCTGCAAGTTGTCCATATGCACCGCCCCCCAAATAAATCAGTTATTAGCTGCCAAACTTCCACAGTATTGAACCAGACATCAACAGTGGATCACAGCTGGTTCTGGCAGCGCACGCCTTTAATCCCAGAGACAGGCGGATCTCTGTGAGTTCGAGGCCAGCCTTGCACATAAAGTCTTCCAGGGCAGCCAGAGCTACCCAGAGAGACCCTGTCTGTCTCAACCCTGTCAATTTCTTGCTGTCCATCGTGACAGACATTGACAATCGATTACCGACCCGCATCAAGCTTCAAGATCAGCGATTAAGCCCCCCCCCCCCGCCTCAGCGCCTGCTTCCTGGCAGACATCGATAGTCGATTGCCGATCAATCTCCCTCATCTATTGACCCCCGCTGGGAGGGGCCGGCCGCCCCGCCGTACCTTGTGGCTTGGCCGCCGTGCTGGGGTGTCTTGGTGTGGTGCTGGGCGCCGCCGTGGGTCTGGCCGAGGTGCCGGGCAGCGGGCTGTCAGGGCTGGTGGGCCGGGGAGGGCCGGGGGTGAGGGGCGCAGGAGCCGCGGTGGGGACCGCAGGCGCGCGCGTCACCTCCAGGATCCAGTCCCGCAGCCGGGTGACGCGGGTGTAGACGCCCGGCCGCCGCGCTTCCGCACAGCCGATGCCCCAGCTCACGATGCCGGCCAGGAAGAACCTCCCGGAAGGCTCCTCGCAGACCAGGGGTCCCCCCGAGTCGCCCTGGGGACGGGGGAGCGCGGTCAGCGCGGGCGGGGGTCCCCAGGGGTCCCCCGAGTCGCCCTGGGGACGGGGGAGCGCGGTCAGCGCGGGCGGGGGTCCCCAGGGCCAGCGCCGGGGCCCCGCTGTGCGCACCAGGTGCGGCCCGCGGGGGTGGGGTGGGGTTCCCTGCAGAACCGCAAACGTGGGGTCCTCGTCCCTGCCCGGAGCACCCTCACCGGTTTGTTATCTAGATATTTATGTGCACGTCTGCCTGTCTGTGCAGGCATCTCCCCTCAAGCTCCTAACCTCGGAGCCATCCCTCCGGCCCCAGCACTCGGGAGGCAGAGCCAGGCGGATCTCTGTGAGTTCGAGGCCAGCCTGGGCTACAGAGCGAGATCCAGGACAGCCAGGGCTGCACAGAGAAACCCTGTCTCGAAAAAAACTAAAAGTAAAAACATACAGTGACTTCTCTCAGTCAACCACTGAAGCTCAGGCAGGGTATTTCTTGTGTTCCTTTTTGAGACCGGGCCGCACGTGGCTCAGGCTGGCCTGAACCGATCCTCCTGCCTCACCTCCCGAGCAGCTGTTACACACACAGCCTGTGCGTTTGCCTGCTCTGCGGAGGGGACGGAGGGGGCAGACGAGCTGGCGCACCTGGCAGGAGTCCACCTTCCCGTCCAGGTAGCCGGCGCACAGCATCCTGTCGGTGAGCGAGTGGCCGTACAGGCTGGCACACAGGCTCTGGTCCAGCAGCTCCACGGTGGCCTTCTGAAGGACCTCCGGCTTTACCACTGCCGCGGCGACGGAGAAAAGGGGGTGAGAGCTCCGGACCCCAGCAGCCGCGCTGAGCCAGGAGGACCATCCATCCCCACCGGGTCTGGACACCCCAGGGTTGGTTCCTCATCACGCTCCCTGCGTGCACGTGTGTGCTAGGCTCTCAAACGCTCTCACGGTACCGCTTCCTCCTGACATGAACTCTCTTTCTTTCTTTCTTTCTTTCTTTCTTTCTTTCTTTCTTTCTTTCTTTCTTTCTCTTTCTTTCATTTATTCATTATGTACACAGTGTTCTGACTGCAGGTCAGAAGAGGGCACCAGATCTCATTACAGACAGTTGTGAGCCTCCATGTGGGTGCTGGGAATTGAACTCAGGACCTCTGTAAGAGCAGTCAGTGCTCTAACCGCTGAGCCATCTCTCCAGCCCTTTTTTTGTTTTCTTTTTCCTTTTTGAGACAAGGTCTCTTGTAGCCCAGACTGACCTTAAACTGACTTCCTAGCTCATTTGACTTACTTCATCCCCGTGACTTCTCATCTCAAATTCGGGGACGACAGTCCTGTGCTGCTGCCTTTAGCTTTACAAGGTTGTTTTTCTTTTTCCTTACCAGAGGTATTGAACTCACGGACTCCAACATAAATAAATTCTCCACCCTGACCACGCCCCCAGCCCCTCACTGGGGATTCTGGGCGGGGCTCCACCCTGACCACGCCCCCAGCCCCTCACTGGGGATTCTGGGCGGGGCTCCACCCTGACCACGCCCCCAGCCCCTCACTGGGGATTCTGGGCGGGGCTCCACCCTGACCACGCCCCCAGCCCCTCACTGGGGATTCTGGGCGGGGCTCCACCCTGACCACGCCCCCAGCCCCTCTCTGGGAGATTCTAGGCGGGGCTCCACCCTGACCACGCCCCCAGCCCCTCTCTGGGAGATTCTAGGCGGGGCTGTACCCTGACCACGCCCCCAGCCCCTCACTGGGGATTCTGGGCGGGGCTCCACCCTGACCACGCCCCCAGCCCCTCTCTGGGAGATTCTAGGCGGGGCTCCACCCTGACCACGCCCACAGACCCTCACTGGGGATTCTAGGCGGGGCTCCACCCTGACCACGCCCCCAGACCCTCACTGGGGGATTCTGGGCGGGGCTGTACCCTGACCACGCCCCCAGCCTGTTTTTAGTAGTCGGAGCCTCTGGCTGGGCTGGTCCCCGGCCTCCGGCCCCAGCTTATGGACTCAGAGGCGGGAGCCCCCATTGCTGGTCACAAGCTCCTATCAGGGGTGGACGGGGCAGTCGGGGGTGGAGGATGCACGCGGCTTACGGAAGTCCTCCTTCAGGTAGCCCCAGCCCGAGATCAGGCACTTCTTGCGCGGCGGGAAGACGTGCGTGGCGGCGGGGAGACAGGCGGGCTGCACGTAGCGGCCGAAGGGCAGCGGGCGAGCCAGCTCCAGCACCGCCACGTCGAAGTCCGCCGTGTCCGCGTCGTAGGCCGGATGCTTGGAGATGCGGAGCACGCGTGCGCGCACGGCGCTGGCCTCCGAGCCGCTCAGGTGCACGCTGCCGGCCTGGGCCGCCCACTGCGCAGGGTCCTGGAATCTGGGGGGCCCGAGGGGTGCGGCTCAAGTGGGGGCTCGGAGGAGTTGGCAAGGAAAGAGTAAAGTTTGCGGACTGTGACTGCGGACATCTCTGTGCTCCGCCCAGTGTCAGGGTGCAGGGGCCAGCCAGAGGGCCCCGCGGGCACAGGCGCTTGTGGCCACACAGGGTGGAAGGAGCGGATCAGCTACTGCAAGTTATCCTCTGCCTGCGCGCGCAGACACACACACACACACACACACACACACACACACACACACACACACACACACACACACAAATAAATGAAAAAGTGAGCAGGACTGTGCAGGCCCCTGACCCCAGCACCTGGGAGCAGAGGCAGGCCGATCTCTGTGAGTTCAAGGACAGCCTGGTCTGCAGAGTGAGTTTCAGGACAGCTACGTCGTGAGACCCTGTTTCAAAACTAAATAACTAATAAATGAAAATGAATGCAGACTGGGCTGTGGAGGTGGATGTCTGTAACCCCAGCACTCAGAAAACTGAGGCAGGAGAATTATGAATTGCTGGGAAGCCTGGGAAACCTAGTGAGGCCTTCTCTCTCTCTCTTTTTTTTTTCCTCTCGAGACAGGGTTTCTCTGTGTAACCCAGGCTGTCCTCGAACTCAGAGATCCTCCTGCCTCTGCCTCCCAAGTGCTTGGATAAAAGTTGTGTGCCTCCACCACCTGAGGTCTTGTCTTTAAAAAAAGACAATTAATTCAACAGAAAAGAAAAGGGCCTGGAGAGACTGCTCAGTGGTTAGCTCATCATCTGCTCCTGCAGAAGACCCTGGCTCCGTTCCCAGCACCCACACGCCGCCGTCTCACAACCATCCGTAACTCCAGTTCCAGGGATCCGCCGCCACCTTCTGGCCACAAGGTGCATAGACAGACCGACAGGGGAAACATTCAAACGGGTAAAATTAAATAAACCAAGAGGAGGGGGAGAAGCAGGTGGGAGGGGAGAAGCAGGCGGAGAAGGGAGAAGCAGGCGGAGGGAGAAGCAGGTGGGAGGGGAGAAGCAGGTGGGAGGGGAGAAGCAGGTGGGAGGGGAGAAGCAGGTGGGAGGGGAGAAGCAGGTGGGAGGGGAGAAGCAGGTGGGAGGGGAGAAGCAGGCGGAGGAGGGAGGAGCAGGCAGAGGAGGGAGAAGCAGGCGGAGGAGGGAGGAGCAGGTGGAGGAGGGAGAAGCAGGTGGGAGGGGAGAAGCAGGTGGAGGAGGGAGGAGCAGGTGGAGGAGGGAGAAGCAGGCGGGCAGAGGAGGGAGAAGCAAGCGGAGGAGGGAGAAGCAGGCAGAGGAGGGAGAAGCAGGTGGGAGGGGAGAAGCAGGTGGGCGGAGGATGGAGAAGCAGGCGGAGGAGGGAGAAGCAGGTGGGCGGAGGAGGGAGAAGCAGGTGGAGGAGGGAGAAGCAGGTGGGCGGAGGAGGGAGAAGCAGGTGGAAGGGGAGAAGCAGGCGGAGGAGGGAGAAGCGGGCGGAGGAGGGAGAAGCAGGTGGGAGGGGAGAAGCAGGTGGGAGGGGAGAAGCAGGTGGAGGATGGAGAAGCAGGTGGAGGATGGAGAAGCGGGCGGAGGAGGGAGAAGCAGGTGGAGGAGGGAGAAGCAGGTGGGCGGAGGAGGGAGAAGCGGGCGGAGGAGGGAGAAGCGGGCGGAGGAGGGAGAAGCAGGTGGGAGGGGAGAAGCAGGCGGAGGAGGGAGAAGCAGGTGGGAGGGGAGAAGCAGGCGGAGGAGGGAGAAGCGGGCGGAGGAGGGAGAAGCGGGCGGAGGAGGGAGAAGCAGGTGGGCGGAGGAGGGAGAAGCAGGCGGAGGAGGGAGAAGCGGGCGGCCGCGCGGACAGGCCAGGCTGGACAGCGCAGCCGCGGCCAGCGGGGACTCACTCGTTGAAGCAGTGGGCCGCGGACACCAGCCACCTGGCCCCGATGATGGTGGCCCCGCAGAAGTGCTCATGGTTCTCGCGAAGGCTGACCTGCCAGGGGAACTCCCCGGGCGCCGCCTCCACGCCGCCCACGATCCTGCCCGCTGACCTCCAGGCAGGCTGCCAGCCGCAGTCTGCAAGACACAAGGCCCCGGGACCCAGGCGCCGGCTGTCACTCATCACTTGGCCCTAATTCCAGGTGCGGCCTCTTGCTTGGGGACGCCTTGTCTTCTGGAAGCCCTGAGGTCACATGTCAGCGTCAGTGAAAAGCTCACACCTGGTGCCAAACACGAAGGTCATGTGACCTTCGGACCCGTCGTTGACTTCTATTTCATTCATTCTCCTTCCTTTCCCCCTTCCTTCCTTTTTTTTTGTTTTTGTTTTTTGTTTTTTGTTTTTGTTTTGTTTTGTTTTTCAAGACAGGGTTTCTCGGTGCAGCCCTGCCTGTCCTGGAACTCGCTCTGTAGCCCAGGCTGGCCTCGAACTCACAGAGATCCTCCTGCCTCTGCCTCCCGAGTGCTGGGATTAAAGGTGTGTGCCTCCACTGCCCGGCATAATTTCTTTCTTCTAAAACAGACTCTCATTCCAGCCCAAGCTGCCCTGGACCTCCTGATCCTCCTGCCTCGGCTCCTGAGTACTTGGATGACATGCCGGCACCACCAAGCACTTCCTTGACTGGTGACTATGGATGCTGGAGGGCTGTGAGCGCCTCGGCGGGTCTCCTGGACTGTAGGGAGCCTGGGAGAGAGCGAGCCCAGGCCCCCTCACAGCCTCTGCTTGAGTTCCTGCCCCAACTCCCGCGAGGATGGACGGTGAGCTGAATACAGCCATTCCTCCCGCGTCGCTTTTGCTCAGAATGTTTTACCACAGCGGCAGGGAGCAGACCGGGACCCTGGTGTCCTCTTACTGCGCAGGCTGAGATTGCCGGAAACATGCCGATGACCACATAGTATTCTCTTCCCTCCTTGCTCAGATCTGACCAGTCCTTGTTCCTGCGGCATAGAGCTCCAGGCTGCCATGCCTGCTTTAGTCTGAGGATTGTCCCCTCTGGGCACCCGTGCTTAGTGGGTGGCATGTTGCCCTCTAGACCATAACCCTCCCTCCCCGCCCCCGTTTATGAGCCCCGAAAGCCCAAGCCCAGGCCACACTGACACTGACCGCATTGAGCCTCGTCGGAGCCATCGGAGCAGTCCACCCTGTTGTCACACTCCGGGTTCTCTTTGCTCACACACTGACTGTTTGCACAGGAGAAGGCGTTCTCGGGGCAGCGGCCTGGGGACAGAGAACCCAGCTGGGGGCAGGACCTGCAGGGGTCCACTGGGAACCCCCATAGTGGAAAAACCTCTCTTGAGCTCTTTGCTTACCTCTGGGGACAGGACAGGGCTAGACAGCATGGATGTGTGTGAGCCATGAGTGATTTGCGTGTGAGACAGGGTCACACTGTGTAGCCTTGGATGGTCTGGAACTCCCTGTGCAGCCCAGGCTGGCCTGAAACTCACAGGGATCCACCTGCCTCTGCCTCCCGAGTGCTGGGGTAACAGGTGTGTGCTGCCATGTCTGGCTCCTGATTTTGTTTTTACAAGAGAATTCTGTCACCTTCTGTGACGGCAACTTGGTGGGACCCAGAAACACTACGGAGTGTCTGCCGGGCTGAGGAAATCTCTCCACTGGGTTAACTGAGGTGCATGTGGCCCTGCCATCCCGTGGTCTGAGGTCCTGGGCCTGGGGCCCACGGGCTGGGGCCACCTCTCTGTTTCCTGACTGTGAGCTCAGGGTGACCAGCCACCATGACGGAGGGTGCTGACTGCGGCCAGGACAGACCCTCCCTCTCTTCAGGCGCTGTGTGGCTGCTCTGTCTCAATAACCGAGGAATGAAGCGACAACCTTCAAAGTACATACTGTCTGGGGAGGGGGCGCACACTTCCGACCCCAGCACTCAGGAGGCAGAGGCAGCTCTGAGTTTGAGGCCTGCCGGGTTACGCAGTGAGACCCCAACTTTTTTTTTTTTTTTTTTTTTTTTTTTTGTTTTTTCGAGACAGGGTTTCTCTGTGTAGCTTTGCACCTTTTCCTGGAACTCACTTGGTAGGAGACCCCAACTTTTATAAATAAATAAACCAACAGCCTTCACTGCGGCCGGGCCCGGCTGTGGACAGCGCTTGGTGCCTCTCTGCGGTCCCCTCGGCTCACGCCTGTGGTGTTAGCTTCCCCGGGAAGCCAGAGGCCCGCAGGGGCACACATGCCACTCCAGGACAGAAGCCTTGAGGACCTTCAGCGGAAGCCGAGCTGCGGGCAGAGGACAGTCCTACCTGACTTTAAGTCCCTCTCGGTCACCGGACCTTCACACCTTCCTGAAGGGGAACAGACAAAAGCAAGTGAGTGCTGGTGGCACTCGCCTGTCATCGAGGCTGAGGCAGGAGGATTGTGCCTTTGAGGTCAGCCTGGGCTATGTGATGAGATCCTGTCTGGATTCCTCTCTCTACGAGGTCAACTGTGCGTGCTGATTCTTCGAGACATCTCACTGCAGGTGGCAGCGGGGTCACCTAACTCTAACCCTAACCCTGTCCTCAGCCTGGCTGGTCAGGGGACAGTGCTAAAGAGCCACATAAGGCCGGCGGCCACCATCCCAGTGGGGACACACTGTCACTGAGGAATGTTCTAGAAGATGGCAGTCACTGAGACCTCAGCCATTTATCAGGGTCAGGGGACAGTGAGGTCTCAGGAGTCTGAACCGGTTTCTTATTGGCTCTCCCGTTCCTACCCGGACTCTCAGTGCAGGACACTTCTGCATTGCTTGTTATTTGTTTGTTTGTTTGTTTTTGCTTTTTACTTACTTTTTTTTGGTGGCGGGGTGTTTCAAGACAGGGTTTCTCTGTGTAGTTTTGGTGCCTTTCCTGGATCTCACTCCGTAGACCAGGCTGGCCTCAAACTCACAGAGATCCCCCTGCCTCTGCCTCCCAAGTGCTGGGATTAAAGGCGTGCATCACCACCGCCTGGCTGTTTTTGCTTTTTGAGACAAGGCCTCATTAGGTTGTCCAGGCTGGCCCCAAGTTCCTGGATTAGCTGGGGAGATAGCCATGTCTGTCAGGGTGGCCTAGAGGCCAGCTGTACCTTCACAGTTGATCGAATCACCCCGACACCTGCTAAGTAACTAAGGCTAGCTCATCCACCAGGCACAGGAACGGCTCACATCCCCAATGGGACAGACGGAGATGGATGGCTTAGATTTTTTAAATTAATTAATTAATTTCATGTGCAGGGGTGTTTTGCCTGCCTGTGCATCTCTAAGAGGGCATAGCATCCCCTGGAACTGGAGTAGCAGATGGTTGTGCGCCACCACATGGTGCTGGGAAGCAAACCCGTGCCCTCGGCGAGAGCAGCCGGTGCGCTGACTGCTGAGCCATCTCTCCATTCCCAGATGGCTTCAATTATCACACTCCCCAGAAGGGGTTCAAGTTCTAACATTAGAATTGTCTAGTTCTTATTCTTATCCCTATTATTTTGATTTCTCAAGACAGGGTTTCTCTCTGTAGCCCTGGCTGTCCTGGATCTCACTCTGTAGACCAGGCTGGCCTCGAACTCACAGAGATCTTCCTGCCTCTGCCTCCCGAGTGCTGGGATTAAAGGTGTGTGCCACCTCACCTTGTAAAACAGTTTTATGTCATCTATATTTACCGGGCATGGTGGAGCACATATGCATATACTGGGGCCAGCGAGACAGCTCTGTAGACCAGGCTGGCCTCGAACTCACAGAGATCCCCCTGCCTCTGCCTCCCGAGTGCTGGGATTAAAGGCGTGCGCCACCACGCCTGGTAAGTTCTGGAGTTTTCTGTTATATCTTTGGAACTACAGTGAACCAAGTATTGACTAAAACCATGGAAACAGTCCGTGAATGTGAGGGACTCTTACTGCCGAACCTCGCGGGTCACAGAAGTAAGATGTTTGCACTCTGTCCCCATCCATAAGAGGCGGCCAGCCCTCTGCTTCCGCGGTGTGGGAAGCTGGTTGCCTTCCCTCCTTCCATCAGAGGGGGAGATTTTTTTTAAAAAAATATGATGTTCTGTGCATTTGAGCTGCACCTCGCCCCCAGCAGCCTTTGTCTCCCAGACAGCGGCTGCCGCCCACCTACCTGTCAGCTCCACTGACATGATGGTGCCGTAGGCAGCCAGGGGAAGACCGTGTTCCCCCAGCCTTGCCTGGATGCCTTTCTGCAAGATGTCTTCCTCTTGGTCCAGGCTCAGTGGCTGGACGGCTCGCAGCAGGAAGTGGAGCCGGAAGTGCACAAACACGCTGGAATTCCCATCCCTGCAAGCAGGACAGGGCCTTGGAGGCAGAACGCATGCTTGCTGCCAGAATTTTCAAGAATCTTCTGAATCTTCTAGAAGGTTCAGGAATTGTCTAGAATCTTCTGGCATCTCCAAAATGTCTACCAAGGTTGTTTTGCCCTCAGAGAGCCCTAACTCACCTGTAACTGAGCACAGTGCAGCCTGCACAGCTCCATTCTAACTCTGTTTTTCGGAAACTGCTCACAAACTGCAAGAGAAACAAGGCAGTGATGTTGAGACCACAGTGATGCTGAGGCCACAGTGATGCTGAGGACCACAGTGATGCTGAGTCCACAGTGATGTTGAGACCACAGTGATGCTGAGGACCACAGTGATGCTGAGTCCACAGTGATGCTGAGGCCACAGTGATGTTGAGGCCACAGTGATGCTGAGGCCACAGTGATGTTGAGGCCACAGTGATGCTGAGGACCACAGTGATGCTGAGGACCATGGTAAAACAAGACCACAGTGATGCTGAGGCCACAGTGATGCTGAGGCCACAGTGATGCTGAGGCCACAGTGATGCTGAGGACCACAGTGTTGCTGAGGCCACAGTGATGCTGAGGACCACAGTGATGTTGAGGCCACAGTGATGCTGAGGACCACAGTGATGTTGAGGCCACAGTGATGCTGAGGACCACAGTGATGTTGAGGCCACAGTGAAACAGGACCACAAAGCCACTGATGGGTCAGGGAGGGGTGTTGTGAAGGTAGGTAATCATGTGAAAACACTCTCCTGTCAAATTAACAAACCAACACAGTGCAGTCCGTGCACACAATTGAATATTATTCAGCCCTGGAAAAGAAAATGACTATATGCCACTTCCGAGTTATAACCCCAAAGATTGAAGCAACCTCTCAGTTACAGGCACTCCATAGCTACACAGGGCCAGTGCCTTAGGCAGGGCCGGCTGCCTGTCCGTGTCCATAGAAATGGGTGGGTGGGTGGGTTGGTGAATGGATGGATGGATGGATGGATGGATGATGGGTGGATGGATGGGTGGATGGATGGATGGATGGATGGATGGATGGGTGGATGGATGGATGGATGGGTGGATGGGTGGATGGATGGATGAATGGACGGATGGATGGACAGATGGGTGGGTGGGTGGATAGATGAATGGACGACAGATACACAAAGGGAAACCCATTCCAACACTCAACGAACATGCAGCCATGAGCAGGTCAAGGCTCTGTCACACGCCACAGCACGGAGGCCCCTGAGGACACTGTTTTCAGTGAGAGACTCCCACAGCATGGACTCCATGATAGGAAATCAGGTCCAGACAGAAGTACATACATGTGCTCCATAATATGTCTGCTTATCAGGTGGAATTCAAGCGCTCCATGTTCCCTTCCATCCCACAGACTGGCTTCCCCTGTCACAGCCTCCACCCAGTCATCTCCTTCCTCTGTGTCCCGGCTCCGCTCACCAGTGTCTGCAGAGCAGGTGTGAGCAGGCGGTAGTATTCGGAGGCCTCCTGCAGAAGAGAGCTGGTGAAGTGGATTCCATGTAGCCGTGCCGTGTGCTCCACGTGCACCCCCTGCGCAGAGAGGAAGGCTGTGGGCGAGACGGTTGCCCGGTTAGGGAGCCCCACCGTGAGGTTGGACGTCAGCACCCTGCACCTGCCAAAGCTCCACACACAGGAGACCCGACTCCTCGGGGTTGGGCACCAGCGTGCCTTTCCTGAAGGAGTCTACGAGGCCTTCCCTGGGACCCCTAGATATAGTATAAAGCCTATAGAGAAGCCGGGCGGTGGTGGTGCACACCTTTAATCCCAGCACTCGGGAGGCAGAGGCAGGAGGATCTCTGAGTTCGAGGCCAGCCTGGTCTATGGAGCGAGATTCAGGAAAGGCGCAAAGCTACACAGAGAGACCCTGTCTTGAAAAACAAAAACAAAAAAAGCCTATACAGGCCCAGTGACCTGGGGTATCCCTAAAGTCAGCTTCCTTGACCTGGGTCAATGACATCCCAGCTGATAGCCCCTCGGGAGGCCTTGCAGTGTGTCCCCAAATGCCTTCCTAGGATGGGACAGCAATTACTGTAGAGCAAGCCAGGGGACCTCCGGCCCCTCGCATTGTTCACCCAGGGCTGCCGGCCTTCACTGACGGTCACGTGTGTGAACATCAGGTCACCGGGTGCCTTGCTCTCTCAATCTCCATCTTGTGTTTGAGGCAGGGTCTCTCACTGAACACAGGGCTCACCAATTCAGCTAGGCTGGCCAGAGAGCCGTGGGGATCCTCCTGTGTGCGTCCCCCCAGCTCTGAGATCACAAGAGCCTGCCACTTCACCTGGCTTCTGTGACGGCAGTGGATGGGACTCTGTCGTGCAAGGCAGACCCTCCACAGACTGGGCCGTCTCCTGGCCCCTCTTCGTTTCTTCGTTTGAAGCAGGGCTTTGCTCTGTAGCCTGTGCCAACCTGAATATTACAATCCCCCGCCACAGCTGTCCCTGCCTGTGCCGCCTAAAGGGAGTTTCTAACTGTGAGTTACATCATACAAAAGGAGCAAAAGTCAACAAAACAGCCCCAGCAGGGAGGCTGTGCCTGCGCCCGGCCTCTCTGGAGGCTGAGCCGGGAAGACGGCAGCAGCCCAGACATGTAACACCGACCTGGACACCATAGCCAGACCCAACCGCAGATGAAAATTCAAACAGAGGCCGGAGAGCACCCTGGTTCAGTTCCCAGGGTCCACATGGCGGCTCAGAACCGCCTATAATTCCAGTTCCGGGGGCCGACACCCTCCTCTGGCCTCGGTAGGCACTGCACACACATACATGCAGAACACTCAACACAGAAAATAAAAATTGAAAGCACAGTCTGCCAGGCAGTGGTGGCGCACACCTTTAATCCCGGCACTCGGGAGGAAGAGACAGGCAGATTTCTGAGTTCGAGGCCAGTCTGGTCTACAGAGCGAGCTCCAGGACAGCCAGGGCTACACAGAGAAACCCTGTCTCAGAAAAAAAAAAAATAGGCAAGCAAACAAAACAAAACAACAAAACACCACACAACAGAATCAAACAGAATGTGAATCCTGAGTCCGCGCGACTCCTCGGGATAGATTTGTGGATTCATGGGTAGAAGAAACATCCCAGTGACTGTGGGTCACTGGGTAGGACACTCGCCCGGCGGGCATGCAGCCCTGGGTACCACCACAGCATCCATAAGCCAGGAGTGGTGACGCACACCTGTGGTCCCAGCACTTCAGAGATGGAGGCAGGGGGATCCTCAGCAATAAGAGCTTGAGTCCAGCCTGGGCTACATGAGACCCTTCTTCTTCTCAGAATAAGATAAGCTCTCAAAAATGGCACGAAGTTTTTTGTGCATCACACCCGGGCCAGCCCGGGGTCCCAACAGTCTTGAAATCCTTGCAGACTGTCAGGAAGCCGGTATCCGGGCACAAGGGCACTCGGGGGCAGACAATGCTGCGGTGTGACAGGCACAGCCACTAGGGGGCAGCAGTCAGCCATGGCAGGCGGCCATAACCCAGACAACTTCAATAAATAGTATTATAGTTGGAGAAATCAGAGTTTATTCTTTTGCTACACAAGAAGGTTTCCCAATTTGTGTTCGTCGTCACTCTCACAGAGAATAACCATTCCAACGGGCTGTGGCTGAGCCACGCCCCCGGCAGGGCTCCATCCCTGACCAGGCCCCCAGGCCCTCACGTGGGGTCTCCAGGTGGCAGCTCCACCCCTAAGCCACATCTCGGTAGCCCTGGCTGACCAGGAACTCAGAATCCTCCTGTCGCAGGCGGTATTCGCCGCCCACAGTGCTGACCACGCCTTCTGGATTCCCACTTCACACTCTTCACACTGACACCCACCTCACACTCACCCAGCACACTCCCTGACTTGGGGCCTGTCCTTGTGGGCTGCTGGCTCTGGCCTGAGGGCCGCCCTTTGGCTCTGGATGGATGCTCAGGACACTCAGAGTGCCCTTTTGAGTGTCCCCTACTCCAGGGACCCAGCCTTCCTCCTGACACTTACCCAAAAGGACTCCCAGGGCGAGGACGACCGTACTGATGGCCACAACTGCGGTGACAGCCGTTCGACAGCAGCCAGAGTCCGGAGCAGGGACGTGGCCATCCTTTGTGGTCTCCGGCACGAGATGTAAGTCAGGTGCCGTGGGCTCCATGGCTCAGCAAACTCAAGGCTCCAGGGAGACACCTGCAAAAAATAGACCAAGGATTGTCTGACATTCTGCCACACCGGGCCTGCGCCTTCTGGGAGGGAGGGGACAGGACAGGCTCTTCCTAGCCACTGTAGCCCAATGGGGCCAAGGCGGTGGGATGGAGGATGCACCCAGAAAAACATGCCAATACTTCTGGGGTGCTAGGGATGGCTCTGTGGTTAGGAGAGCTGGCTGCTCTCTCAGAGGACAGGAGTTCAGTTCCCAGCACCTACATGGCAGCTCACAACCATCTGTAACTCCAGCTACAGATGGTTCTGACGCCCCCTTCTGGCTTCTGTGGGAACTGCACTCAGGTGCACACACACACACACACACACACACACACACACACACACACACATTAAAACAGGCTAAATGTTCATTAAGTGAGAATGCCCAGGTGAGTGAGGCTGTCACATGCAGCAGACACAGATTTGCAGGTGAACTTTGTCCTTGCAATGTATCCACACCTGTATCAGACTCTGGTGAGGCCATGAGGACTTCTTTTTTTAATTACTCTATCTGATTTAACCCCAGCACTTGGGAGGCAGCAGATCTCTGTGAGTTCGAGGCCAGACTGGTCTACAGAGTGAGTTCCAGGACAGCCAGGGCCGCACAAACTTAATAAAACAAACACATGAATACTCTATTAAAGACACGAAGGGCTGGCAAGATGGCTCAGAGTGCGAAGGGGCTTGCTGCCAAGCCTAACGACCTGAGTTCAATCCCGAGACCCACGTGGAGGAAGGGAGGAGAGCGCTGAGTCCTGCAGCTGGTCCTCTGACCTCCCCACACTCAGAATAAACAAGGAAAGCCACACTGGCCCCCGCTTCCACCCCCTGCCTCTGGCTCCCCCCCCCTCGTGCCTCCCCTTCCCCCACCTCTGGCTCCCCACCTGGGCCCCTGGCTCCCCCACTCCTCTTCTTGAGAAGCCCACACCCACACTTGAAGAAATGTTTCTACTTTTTTTTCTGAGCACCTCTCTTTCACGTAGCCCAGGCTGACTTCAAACTCACAATCCCCCTGCCTCAGCACAAAGATATTTATTTTCATTTCAATTGCTGGGTGTAGTGGTGCATGCCTTTGATCCCGGCATTCAGAGGCAGAGACAGAAGGATCTCTGTGAGTTCCAGGCCAGCAAGAGCTCCATTGGGTGATCCTGCCACAAAAGAAAAACAGAGAAAGAAAAGAAAGGGAAAAAATTAACCGCTTCGTTTCCTTTTGAGGCAGGGTGTCATGCAGCACAGGCTGATTGGTTTGGGAATCCTGGTCCTCCTGACTCCACCTCTGGAGTGCCGGTGTGAACCCCGACACCCTCTGCTGATCCTGGCACCTCCAGGCTGAGGCCCAGCCCTAAGGGGACCCATCTGCCTGAAGCGGTCCCCGGTCACCGGTCACCGTGCGCGGCAGAGGGGGCAGGGCAGCGGCCTGGCTGTGCAACACTCACGTCTGTGTTCTTACACTTCGCTTCCTGGCTCCTGAGGAGGAGAAACTGTCTGTGCGAATCTCTCCATGAAATAAGAGAGGAACAAAGGCCACAGAGACGTGCTGAGCAGCGAGGCTGCAGCCTTGAACTACTGGGGAGGACTTCGACGGTCCAGACGCACACACCCACGTGCACATGTACAAACACATATGTGCACATGTGTAGTGGGTGGCTACAAAGCCGTGCCCTGAAGCACCGCCCCTGTGAGGTGGCAGGTAACTGTTACACCTGGCTATGGCCTTGAGGTACATGCTCCTGGGGTGTGGCTGCTCAGGGACCCCTCAAGACCTGGGATGCATGTACGTGCTCTCTCCTCGCTACCTCACGGTTTCAGATGCTGAGATCTTGAACCGGGCAGATCAGCGTGGGACATAGCTCAGCTTTCCCGGAACCCTACGATAAATCTCCCGTGGTTGTGAGTCAACCCCCCCCAAAATAAATTGCTTTGCTCATTAAATAGACTCTGGATTAATCCCATTACACATGCACGAACACATATACACATGCATACACACACAGGCACATACGCACGCATGCTCTCACACACACGGATGTACACTCACACACACACACTCACACACTCGCTGTGCTCATGCGTCCCGTCCCCACGGCCTGCACACAGTCCTGCCAGCAGTGGCCCCCCTCCCAGAGGACTTGTGGTTGTTGGGCGCTGAGCACAGAAGCACCATTCAGCACTTTCTCTCCGTGGTAATTACCCCCCGGGGCCACGCCGGCTGCAAAACGCACAGCACAGAAAGGGGCAGATCAAACTCTGGGAACCCTGGGAACCCTGGGCCGGGGAGACCAGGCCTCCGAGAACTGCTCCACAAGAACCAGGTGAGGGGGCACACACCTGTCCTTCCGTCACTCAGGAAGCTGAGGCAGGGGGATTGCTGTGCGTTCAAGGCTAGCCTGGGCTACATAGCAAGGCCCAGACTAACATGAGATACATAAAAACAAACAAACTTTCAAACAACCCTACCCGGACACGGCGACACACATCTGTCATCCCTGTACTACCCGTGAGAAGTTCAAAGTCGTCCCCTGGGTACACGGCGAGTCCCAGGCAAGCATGGGCTACCGAGTGAGACTCCGTCAGCTGGAGGGTCCGGAACACACAGGACTTGGTGTGGCCAGCTCTGGTGCAGACGGGTCCGCAGACCTAACCTGACGGTGGCGTCCGTTCAGCCACAGCCACATTTTTGTGCATTGGTGATGCGGGTGGGTGTGTGGCAGTGTCCTCGGGACGGAAGCATTCCACCCCGGAGGAAGGCTCCCAGAGACTAAAAAACTTCCGGAAACTTCCATGATCACAAGTGCTGGGAGGGGACTGAAGCGGGTGGCTGGCCAAGTCTTGCAGGGCACCCCAGAAGTCACCACGCCAGGGTGAGTCACCCACGTGCACTAAGTAACCCCAGTGAACTCACAGGTCGCCTAAGCTCCACTCTGTGGATCAATTCTGTGGTCTGTGGCTGGTGCCCTGGCTGGGGTGAAGTGACGTGCCCACGGCTCCCCGGAGATGATTAGTGAGCAGGCAGGCCACTGAAGGAGGCCACCCAGCAGCGAAGAGTGGGAAATGGTGGCTTTCTCCGCCCGACGCAGAGGAACAAGGGACTCTCAGACCAGTGTGGCAAAAATCGACCATGTTTAAATTAAGAGGGCTGGAGAGATGGCTCAGTGGTTAACAGCACTGGCTGCTCTTCCAGAGGACCCGGGTTCAATTCCCAGCACTTACAACTCACAGCTCCCAATTGTCTGTAATTTCAGTTCCAGAAAATCCAACACCCTCACACAGACATACATGAAGGTCAAAACACCAATGCACATGAAATAAAAATAAATATCTTTAAAAAATTGTTATTAGGGCTTGGAGAGGTGGCTCAGCGGTTAGAGCACCAGCTGTGCTTGTGGACGCCCTGACTTCAATTCCCAGCACCCACAAGACGGCTCACAAGCACCTATAACTCCAGTTCCAGGGAACCCAGCATCCTCTTCGGCACACAGACATGCATGCAGGCAAAACACTCATGCAAGTAAAATAAATAAATAAATAAATAAATAAATAAATAAATAAATCTTAATTCTTTATTTTTTTTGAGACAGAGTCTCTGCACGTGGCCCTGGCTGTCCTGGAACTCACACCGTAGACCAGGCTGGCCTTGAACTCACAGAGATCCACCTGCCTCTGCCTCTTGAGTGCTGGGATTAAAGACAGGTATTATCATGACCTGCCAAAACTTAAAATAAAAAAAAAAATGAAAAATGAAAAAGAAGTCCAGCTGGTGGGATGGCTCTGTGGGTAGGCACTTGCCGTCAGTTGCCATCAGGCCTGGTGAGCTCCATCATGGGACCCACGTGACGGGAGCTCCAACCGCTGTCCGCGGTCCTCAGCGGTACATGCCCACACAAATACACACACGACTCAATAAACACAGAATCAAAACAAACTAAGAATTTAAAAGCCAGCCATGGTGACGCACACCCTTGATCCCAGCGCCTGGGAGGTGGAGGCAGGAGGATTGAGAGTTCTAGCTCAGCCTCAGCCATAAAGCAAGTTTGAAGCTAGCCTGGGCTACGTGAGACACCCCCCATCTCAAAATGCAAAACGGTTTTTAAAAGAGAAAGAAAGGGAGTGAGGGGCAGACTCGCAGGCACCAGAGACTGACCTGTGAAGAGATGGGGTGACAGACCGTGACCCGAGGCCCAGGAGCCGTGCAGCCAACAG